CTCCTCTCTATAAAAGATTCCTTGAGGATGTGCAAAACCAAAAAGTGACCCATCAAAGAGGAAGATATGAGAGTCAAGGCCGCACTACTTTAACAGAGAAATAATTATGAAAATAATTCTTAGAATGATTACTGTGCAGCAGGCCTAGGAAGCAGTCACTCAAAAGTAGAACAGGAAGCCAGAGTTTTAGACAGGATGTCTTCAAGAAGTAAGCAAGTTTACTGTAATAGCAGCTTCAAGAAGCTGGGTATGCTTGGTGGTCATTGGAAACACATTACTATCCTGAGAACAGTAAAAAAGAAAAAGGAAGGAAGAAAGGAAGAAAGGATGACAATTTTGAGCAAATAATGGAATGCAATAAAAGATAATTTGTTTGAATTTAATGTTCAAGATAGGTTCATCTAAAAGCCTAGATTTTGTGTCATAGGATTACATTTTCTTCTCCAGGTTTCAGTCATACTGTGTATTTCCGTAGTCATTCAGATTTGCATGATCCTGTTATCAGTTGTTTTGGGGTTTTCAGCCTTTAAAATAATTTCATTGATATAGTACAGAACATTTAGTTATGGAGACTGAGAGAAATATTTATTTTGCCAAGTTTGATGTTTTTAGAGTATTGGTATAGCTGACAGAAATTCGGAGGTAGCAGAGGTGGGACAATGAGAGAAGTGTAGGAAACTTCATCTTCTAATCTTTTATCTAACCTTTCTTGAAGAAGTTGAAGTGGGTTTCAGTATATTACATAAAGATGAAAAGATCTACAAACACATGAAAATGTAACTAGCAAATACCAATAGACATAGAAGAGAGAGGGAGGCAAGGGTTATCTTGAGTGAGCTAACAAATTAATGGCAGTATAATTTTTAACCTCTTTTGTTTGTATCAACAGTTGTAAATTTTAGGTTCACAAGAAAGGAAGGTACAGAGATTACAACATCCTCCCACTAAAGTGATACATTTGTTATAATTCGTGAGCCTACATTGACACATTGTTATCACCCAAAGTCCATAGTTTACTTTAGGTTCACTCTTGGTGTTGTATATTCTATATATAATGACATAATCCAACATTGTGGTATCATCATACAGAGGATTTCACTGCCCTAAAGTCAGCTGTGCACTACCATTTCATTTTCCCCTCTGCCAATTCTGGAACCGCTGATCTTTTAACAGCCTTCACAGTCTTGCCTCTTCAAGGATGTCACATAGTTGAAACCATACACTATGTAGCCTTTTTAGATTGGTCACTTAGTAATTTGCATTTAAGCTTCCTCTGTGTCTTTTCACGGTTCGATAACTCATTTCTTTTTAGTGCTAAATAGTATTCCATTGTTTGATACAACCACAGTTTATTTATCCATTCTCCTACTGAAGGATATCATGGTTGCTTTTAAGTTTTTGGCAATTATGAATAAAGCTATTATAAACATTTGTGTATAGGTTTTTGTGTGGACAAAGGTTTCCAGCTCCTTTGAATAAATACCAAGGAATGTAAGTGCTGGATCAAATAAATGTTAAAAGAGTATGCTTAGTTTTGTAGGAAGCAGCTAAACTGTCTTCCAAAGTGGCTGTACCATTTTGCATTCCCACTAGCAATGGATGAGAATTCCTGTTGTTCCACATCCTCTCCAGCATTTGATGGTGTCAGTGCTCTGGATTGTGAGGACTGTGATCCATTTTGAATTAATTTTTGTGAAGAGCATAAAGTCTGTTTCTAGATCCATTTTTTGTGTATGGATGTCCAGTTGTTCAGCACTATTTGTTAAAAAGACTGTCTTTGCTCCATTATATAACCTTTGTTTCTTTGTCAAAGGTCAGTTGACTATATTTGTATGGGTCTGCTTCTGGGCTTTCTATTCTGTTCCATTGATCTTTTTGTTTATTCTTTCACCAGTACCACATTGTCTTGAATGCTGTGGTTTTATAGTGAATCTTGAAGTCAAGTAGTGTTAATCTCCCAACTTTGTTGTTGTCCTTCAACATTGTGTTGACTATTTTGGGTCTTTTGCCTCTCCTTGTAAATTTTAGAATCAGCTTCTTGGTATCCACAAAATAATTTCCTGGAATTTGTTTGGGAATCATTGAATCTATATTTTAAGTTAAGAATAACTGACATCTTGACAGTATTGCAGCTTTCTATCCACGGACATGGACTGTCTCTTCATTTATTTATTACTTTGATTTCATTCATCAGAGTTTTGTGGTTTTCCTCATATAGATCTTATACACATTCTGTTAGATTTATACCTAAGTGTTTCATTTTGGGGGGTTCTAATGTAAATGATACTGTGATTTTTTTTTTAAGTACTGTCAGTTACAGTGTGTCAATTTCTGGTGTACAGCACAGTGTCCCAGTCATGCATATACATACATATATTTGTTTTCATATTTTTTCCATTAAAGGTTATCACAAAATATTGAACACAGTTCCTTTTGCTATACAGCAGAAACATTTTTTAAAATCTATTTTAATATAGTGACTAACATTTATAAATCTGAAACTGGTAATGTCAAATTTCACTTGCTCATTGCTGGTGTGTAGGAAAACAACTGACTTTTCTGTATTAACCTTGTGTCCTACACTGCTGCTATAATCTTGTATTAGTTCCAGGAGTTTTTCAGTCAGTTCTTTTGGATATTCTACATGATCTTAACATCTGTGAACTTTCCCTTGTCCTCTCCTCTTTTAGGGATCAAAGAAGAGCTTTTCTCTTTTTTTTTTTTTAAACACATTAAAAACCATTCCATTTTATTAAGTAAAATATATCAAGTTCATATACTATTATACACTTCAAAATCCTCCATTTGTTCCCTTGTCAAACTACAGAGTATAGACAATCAAGAAGCATTATTGTTCTTCCAATATAATGGTCTGAGAGTTGTGCTATTTATGATTTTCAAGGCTGAGGCTTGTTATTTAGTAAATGTGGATATATTATAAATTTATGCCTGTTCAGAGAAGAGTTAGCTATACATTTCTCTAATACATGTGAATTCTGTATTTCAACCATATCAACTAATATTCATGACTTCTAACTATTGCTGTTATGAAAATCATCAGGATTTTAATGGACTGCCAGGTTTTTTTCCCTTAAAGAGCAATCGGTATAATAATTTTTTAAATAAAATTCATAATGTTCCTCTTTCCTATTTTAATGCAAAAGAATAATGCCCTGAACACTACTTCATGGTAACTTACATAAATGTTATCAGTCAACCACAAACAGCACCTCCATTTAGATTTTCTTTATGACTTTTACATTACAGTGTCCTTAATCTTCCATGGAAAAGTAGATACAGAAGTAGATAGGCCTCTCGTATCTTCGATGCAACAACAATCAGCCACATGATTTTACATATACACTGGGACTAAAGGCATAGGCATGAAGTGATTTGAGAGTTGAATTATATTAATAAAAAATTTTTTCAAAATATCTCAGATACTGTTTATATAAAAAGGATGCATTGAAAATAATTCTGTCTATTCAGATATCCATCCCTCTCCTTGATCCTTTGAAGCATACTGACAAATAAGTTTTTAAGTTTTGGGTTAGTCTCTATAATAAATACTCTGATTTAGAGTAATATGTGACAAGTGTTGTTGACTTACTGTTTTCTACTGTAAATTTGAGAGGAGTTGATTTTTTTAAAAGTCTGTTCAGTTTTTTACTTGTTTAAATGTAGTGGTGACTTCCAAGGTCCTCATGTGCACAACCATAATCTGAACGTCTATATGGTGATTTTTAAGAGTATTTATCTCCAACCAAATTTGGTTGCAACTCTTGCTAATTTTAGTGTTGATAAGACCGAGATTACTAAAGACTAGAATGGAAAAGGAATGAAAAGCTAATACAGTGATTCTTAACTCTTTTCAAGTTAAAGCAGTATTGATTATTTTAACTGCTTCTGGAAAAGAATTTTGCTCACCCTGGAAAAACTTACATCTAGGATTGTTGATTCTGAGTCCTGTGCTGTGTGGGAGAGGGGAGACTGGGACATAGTGGACTTTGAACAATAATGACTACTCAAAGAGATAATAACAGTTGTTAGATATAGTGATTTATAGTTTAGAAAGTGATTTTACATTCATTATCTTATTTGATGTTCACAGTTACTTAGAATGGTTGATACAGAGGTTTATGTCCTCTGCTTTGTAGGTATGGAATGAGGAACTGTGACTCTTGTTTAAGTTGACACATTGTAGTAGTAGAGCTGACTGTTAAGGTAAAAGGTTTCTGTGTACTTTCTACTGAACCAGAGCCTTTCTATAGAACTAGGGCAGGAAAATGGTGTTCAGCAGTTAGCAGCATAGAATATGTACTTTGTTTTGTGACCTTGGAAATAATCAGTTAACCACTTTTTACTGTGTACTCACTGTTTTTTTATGTGGGGTTTATGATATATGGCAATGTATGTTCCATAGGGTTATAACAATTAAGGTGCTTGGGAGGAAAGAGTCCTTTTGTTATTTTTAATCTTAATTTATCATTATTTATCATGATTATTACCATTTTATTTAATTTATCATTTATACTTATCATTATTATCATTTTGATATTACTGCTTTAATCAGACATTATTTTATAGCTACATTTCACATGTTTGAGTGGAAGGAAAAGAGGACTCAAGAAAGTGGAAAAAAGTACTCGAGAAATAGATTCAAATTCAGTGCTACCTTTCCAATCAGTAAGTGACCTTGAGAAGCTATATACTTGCTGCCATTGCTCAAAATATCTATTGGATCTCATTTTTTAAGCAATGGCTTCAGGATTTTATTTGCCTATGTACAAAGAAGTATCTGTTCAATGTGAAAATATTAGTGAACACAAAGTCAGTAATTTAGTTGTTGGGTTGATAAGAATACTGATAATTAGTTTTCAGAACATTTTAAACTAGTGTGTGTAGGTTCAGCAACATAATGGTTTTGATGAGTATTTTTGAAGATTAGATGGAAAGAATGGATTATCTTTGAAGTAATGATTCTTTGTTTTCTTTCCTAGTCAGCAGATAAGCAGCGAGCCCTGGAAGAAACCAAAGCCTATACTACCCAGTCCTTAGCGAGTGTTGCCTATCTGATAAATACCTTGGCCAACAATGTCCTGCAGATGCTGGATATCCAGGCATCCCAACTGCGAAGGATGGAGTCTTCAATCAATCATATTTCACAAGTGAGACCACACTATTTCCCTATTTTGCCTATGAGAAACACATAATAAACGCAGACAGTCTGTAATGCTGGCAGCCTCTATTATGTGACTTAACTCAAATGTAGGATTTGGAAAATAGAAACTCGTTATTAGGTTGTGTTTTGATTTTTTTCTTCTAAGTGATTATCTTCTCTGTGATTTTGATAGAGAAGTAAACTTTAATGGTTTCATTAAAACTCAATTGTCAAGTTAAGATAGTCAGCTCTGAGGAGAAAATCTGTCTGATTTCTTTCAACTTTTACCAAATGTTAACAGTTCTGTATCTTTTAAAAAGTATAAATATGACAGCTTGATGACTTATTTAAATGTTATTTTCTGTTACCTCAGTAATGTGAAAGATTAACCTAAGTGACCTTATAAGATTGTCTTTGTATACAGCTTAAAAAAATTAATGTTATACTTTTCCCATTATAAACATCATGGTCATAAATATATACAAAAAGAGGAAAAAAGAGAAAAACAAACCCTTTCCCCACTACTCAAATTTTTCCTGTTAGTGTTTTGGTGTATTTCCTTCTAGTACTTCTTTCTTGTAAATAATTTAAAAAATTTAGCTGGGATTATATTATATATAGAATGTTGAGTTCTGTTCTTTTAACTTACTATTAAAACAGACATCTTCCCATGATGTTATAAGCTCTTCATAAATATTTTCAGTGGCTGAATAATGTTGCATGTATATGTCATAGTTTTCATAACCATTCCTATATTTGGGGGCCACTTAAAATGTTACAGCAGTGAAAAACCAATTTATAATTGCAAAATACATTTTTTAAAACATTAAAAGGTTTTGATCTACCTGCTTCTCTTTGATGAGAACTTTGGAGCTTTTCTATTTTAGCTCTCTTGTCATTTGAGTAACTTGGTAGTATTCAAAACTCTTTTTAGAACTAAATGATTAGAACCGTTCTGGGATAAAAAGAGTTTTAAAATGTGCATGTTATATTTTTTCACGTATCTGTGAAAATTTGGAACTCTTCTGAAATTGACGAACCCATTACTTTTCAAAGTCTGAAGTTTAACATATATAATTAAATAAAATATAGTTCACATAATTGAATCAGATATACAAGGTCTACCCCTTATATTTTTGTTATTTGAATATTCATCAGACCATTCAGAGGGACTTCTTGAAATCTAGTATTATTTAATCTTAAATCTGAATTTCACACTATAAGGGTTTCTTCACACCCCATATAAAATTCTGTAGACATCATATAATTTATTGCTTGTTGGAGTGCTATGTCTTAAACTAAAAAAAAAAACAAAATAAAAACAAAGAGTATTGGTGAGTTTAAATGAGTGAGATGTAATTTTTATTCTGAAAGGACTTCCTAGAGGAAATAATCGGTGGCATTTCAAGTGATGAAATAGATGAACTTGGTTTTCTTCAGAAGAAGGGATGTTGACAAATTGCTAATGTGATACAGGATTTTGAGGTTTATACTTGAGAGTCTTAAAATTACTGCGTATTTGAAGTCTTGGCAAAGAACCCAAAAAATAAATTAAGAAGAAAAGTACAAATGCAGAAGAGAAATTAATTTATTAGAGTTCCTAAAAAGAATGGACAACTTTTTATTAGTAAGAGAAAGTAGGAGAGATTGTGTGGGTGGATGATGATGATAAGCAAATGCCAGTGAAAAGTAATCATCTGTATTCTGATTAGAATTCTGGAGTTCTTTGGTAGAAAAGGGTAGCAACCTTAAGGAGGAATGTAATTAAGTTTACTCAAAGTTGTAAGTATATGTGTTCAGTTAATGAGACCATTTTCTTTTTGAGTATCACATAAATTTATGTTTAATTAATATGGCCTAATTAATACTAACTTTTAACACTATTCTAATAGAATAAATAAAAAATGGGAGAGATGAATGGATAAAGATTGGTAGGTCAGAAATAATAGGGGACTGAGTCAGAGCTGTCAGGAATATGTTGAACCTTCTTCATTTGAAGCTGAGTGTCTAGAGGGCAGTACTTTGAAAGGCAAGTGATCTGTACCTCTACAGCTGTTAAGTTTGTACAAAATATATCCTGGTATGTTGGATGAGGAGCTGAGTAGAAGAAATGGGCTGATGGAGGCTATTTCTAAGAAATAAGAGTAAATTTTTAAACAGTTTACATATCTTTTAGTATTTGCCTTAAGGATTGAATTTTTTTTCAGTTATGTTTAATGTACAGGTAGAGTCCTTTGCTTTAAAAGTCAATCTGATTCTCTAATGAAATATTCTATGGAATAAGAGAAAATGTTTTCTACTTATAAAGCAAATACTTACTAAATATTCTAAAACAAGTATCAGCAAACTTTTTTGTAAAGGGCTAGTCAGTACTTTAGGCTTTATGGGCCACATGTGGTTTCAGCCTCATTGTTCTTTGTGCTGGATGTTTTTAAATAGCAGTTTAAAATTGTGAAAAGCAGTCTTAACTTGTGTGCCACATAAAAAGCAGGCTGCGGGCCAGTTTTGGCATGTAGGCTGTAGTTTTTAAGCTCTTGCTCTAAAATACTGGTTTTCAAACGTTTGGTAAAAATTTTGTTATTATTATGCTTTGTTAAAAACATTATTTTTTAGAAGGTGTCAGAAGGTTCTTAAGATGTCTTGAGACCAGTTTTTTTTTTTCCCCAATTTGGGCAAAAAACACTAGGTTGGCAGAATTTGGGGAAAAGATGGGATTGAAGAAGCAGAGAAATGGAGGGGAGGTTCAGTCAGGTCAAAGATGAGATCACATATATATTGGAATGGTAGGTGTCAAGATTTGTCAAGGATTGTCTGGTAGAGTGATTCAGGACCAGTCAATACTAGATACCTGAGGTATTCGTTTTCTTTCCTCATCAGTATCTGTTTCCTGTCTCCTAAGGTAAGAACCTTACCACTTTTCAGCCTCCTAGTGCTCTAGCTCTTATCTCCATTTTAGTGGAGAGGATTGGGAGGGGGAGGAGACCGGATCTAGATTTTACTCTGGCTCTTCTGATGACACGTGTGATGTTTGACTTATTTGAACTTCAGTTTTCTCACCTGTAAAATAAGACTGGTGAGGTGATTTATGAGCTGTCTTCCATTTTGAATTCTTAATTCTCTCAATTGTAAGATTCTCACAAATGAACTTGATTTGTTTTTGCTTTTTTTCTTCTTTCTATTCTGCTGGCTTTGCTATTTACTTCAGTCTGTACCCCACTGATCTCAGCCCTCTATCATTCTGATATAACTGAACTACTTCCAAATTACTTTCATTTTGAATCTGAGGATGGGAATTCCATTGACTCTACCAACTATGTATCAGGAAGAAATAGTTCAATAAAACAAAGTAATAACCCATTCTTTCAATGCCAAATGCTTTGGAAAAACAAGATAGAGTTGATTGTTAATATTTAGTATTAGACACTTTTTTGTGTGTGCTAAAGAGACAGTATAGTGTTAAGTGGTGTACTGATTTACATCACACTCACCATACCCATAAAGCAGTATTAGGATAGGTTCTTGATGTGGATAAGCTTAACTACATTAAGGATGTTAAATTTTAAAGAAATTCTACTTCTAGCTTTATTGCTGTTATCCTGTCAATTCTTTGAAAGCATATTTTAAAAACCTAAATGAAAATTTTAATTTTGAAGCTGAGAATGGAGTTAAATTAACGTTAAATATTTTTCAAGAATATGTAGTTGTCAGAGCAAACATTTAATTTTATTGGATACTTGTATAAGCAGCACACAGCTACTTTTAAGTCACCATGGCATTATGTGTAAGGCTGAATGCTGTTTACTATGTCCATGGCTTTGTGTTCATTTCTGTTAAGTTAAAAAAAAAAAGGTTTGTAGAACATTTTTCAAATTAAAATTCTTAGGAATTTGTAGACAAATTCTTCTCTGAACTACTAAAAACAATCAATACTGTCTGTGTTCAGTTCATCATGGCTTAGAAGAAGATCGAGAGGTCAAAAAGCAACATAAAGAACTTAAAAATTAGTGTTTCTCCCACTCTCCCAAGAGCTGACTAGAACTTACTGGGCTGGGTGTTGTAGTCAGCAGGTAGCAAGTAAAGGAGATAGAAAGGCATACTAGTAAAGTAATATAGGAATGGAAGTAATTCTTCTTAAGGGTTATCTGCAGAAAGGCAGTGGAAGGTCTAAACCCTGAGAAACTCACCATACAGGGTAATTTTTTGTTTAAAAACTTTATATTCAAAGACTTGTTTAAAAATTCTCAATTTTAAATTAAGGAAATCCCACTAATGGTTATCAGTATGTAAATATGCATAGAAAGTAGGATTTATGCAGTTCCTAATTAATTACACATACATGGTTAATATCATTTTATAAAAAATGATAACTGAAAATTACCCATTCAGTTTGTTAATAACGAATTTGTTTTATGAAAGATGGATAGTTTAAAGCATATTTGTAATTTAAATAATTAAATGCTTATTTGAAACCTTAAACATGTCTCCATTTTTTATTAGTAAGTTAAAAACACCCAACTTAGTTGAGTTAATCCATTGTAACTGTTTGATTGCAGATGTTTTCCCACGCTGATGGGCAGCTAACTGAGGTAGTGATATCCCGCACAGTCTACTCTCATTTATCTGTGGTAATGGGAAACAACAGTGCATGGATAATCCTAAAACAAAATACTTTGTACAGAACCTTCCTGTCATCTGCTGTGGCCTGAGCGTGTGCTTGGATCCATGATGGAGGTGTGGGAGTAGGGCTCAGCCTTGCAAAGGAGCTAGAAGTCAAGGTGATGAGGTGTCCTAGAGGAGCCTGGGTTTGGTGCTGTGTGGCTGAAGTGTCATGGGGGGAGCCTGCAGCATGTGAGAGCAGCTTGGCAATAGCTGTGAGAAGGATGGAGAAACAAATTAACAAGGAACTGTGGGAGAACAGATGTTGAAGTCCTGCACAGTTGCAGCTATATTACTTGGTATGTTTTTTGGTTAACAGGTAGCAGACAATAATAGTATTAATAGCAGTGTACTTGCGTTAGTTTTGGTCTTTGCCAGCTAAAAGCATTTTTCACTTGCCACAGGTGAGTGCTGTTATTGAGGCCTCTTCTAAATAAGAGTTAAGTTTATTGTCATGTAACTAGTAACTTTAGAAATCCAGGATAAATTTGAAATACTTTTACTGTTAAAATTCAAACTAAAAATCAGTGTTGAACTTGTACTTCCAAAATTTAACTTAATAGATCTTAGCATTGTAATGGAGAAGAATGTTGTGAAGGCAAAGGCAATGGTGATTACTGAAAGCTATGCGTTTGATTTAGGAAAAACATAGAAGTCATATTTTAAAATGTTATAGGAGCTTTATAAAAGTTCTTTTAAAACTGACCATTGGCTCTGAGTTGATGAGCGTCGAAGCCAGATGTTAGGTATATGGAGGGCATTCATTGTATTGCTTTCATCAAAATTGAATATGATTGTACTTTCCACAAGAGAAATCTTTGAAAAATTTGAAGTAGGTGATTTCTGAAAACTTCAGAATCTTCTGGACTAGACTTTCTCCTCCTTATTTATGGAATAGATTTATTGTTCTCCATTGTTACTCAGACTTCCAGTAAAATCATAGCTATTTTCTGAAGGTATATTTGATTCTGTCCATAGGAACTCCTACAGTTCAACCCACTGTGGAATTAGGATGACAAGAATACAAATTATACCCTTTGATTTTCTTAGCCATATATTACTTTTATTATAGATAATTTTAAAGAAATTAATGACTCCAAATATCTATACTTAGGCAGTCACTAGAGGCATTAATCTTGAGTCAACTCTTCTAAAAGTTTGAAAACAATTCATATTTAAGAGTGAATAATGTAACAAATTGATCAGTCCTTCTTCTGTAGTATTGGTTCTCAATTGGGAGTTTTACCCCCAAGGGGACGGTTGGCAATGTCAGACATTTTTGGTTGTTGCAACCTTGAGGTAGGAAGTACTACAGGTGTCTACTTGGATGCTTCTCTACACCCTGCAGTGCTCAGGACAGCCCCCCTCAACAAAGAATTACTGGCCCAAAATGTTAGTAGTGTTGCTGTTGAGAAACTTGCTCTAGTTTTTCTAAGATTTAAGCATTCTTTTAGAGTAGATGGCTAGAAGCGTATCACCAAACTACTTTGTCTTTCTGTAGGCGTACATTGTTAAATATGCCTTCAGTTTAAATGAGAATTAATATAAGAAGCAACAAAGAACATTTTTCTCATAATTCCTTCAGCCATTTCCTTTAAGAGTTTAGTGCTGGGAAAATTGTCACTTTCCTAATGGAGGAGTATATATTTCCTTCTAACTCGTTATTTCTACTTTGCCTTCTCTGGGAAGCTAAGAGCCCAATTTCATGTGTATAGCAACTGTCCCTTATTTAGGCTTATTTATGAAAGTTCTGTGATTTTTTCTTTTGCTATATTGGTCTTCCTTTTATCGTACTGTAATAGCTTATATGGGTTTGGGCTGTGTTTATGTGTACATAAAGAGTGTATGTAAGTAATTTGTAAGTGCCTCCTGTCCCATGGTACCATCAAATTGTTTTAGTGCTTTTTAAAAAAGTCTCAGTTTTTTTCAAACAATTAAAAAATATGTGCTTGTTATAAAATATAACTATTTTGATGCAAATAATAAGTGGAAATTTGCCCACCTCCCTTTTTCATTCTCCAGAGATTTATTAATATTTCTAGCAGGAAAATTTGAAATCGAAGTTTCCTAGTTTGTCTTAAACTTAGAATTCTATTATGGTTGATTAGGTTTATATTTTTAAAAAACTAAAAAATTTTTTTATTTTTATTTTTTATTGAAATACGGTCAATTTTTATGTTTTCATTTCTGAATAAAATAATTGTATTTCTAAAAACTAAGTAGAATGAAAACAGATTAGAGGATCCTTGAAAGAGGATTACAGTCTCTAATAAATTTTCTTTTTTATTGATAAGACAAAGATCTATTATATTAAAAAATGTCATATTTTGGGGTTTCTTGTTATTTTGAAGCATACTGGATAAGTATGAAATCTTCATAGCTCTTATATTTAACAATTCAGAATGACTCATTAAAAATTGTTCAAAAATAAAATGTGATTACTTTCCATTTCTCTAAAGGTAAAAATAACTGATTTCCAATATTATCACTTAATATGCAAACTTCTTTTTTCTGTTATAGCTTCTCCAAGCAGTCGAAAAGGAAAGTAACCTTGTAATTTACCTAATATGCATAGAAAAGTTCAAAGCCTATTTTTGTCTTAAAAAGAAATACTTAAAATGCTAAGGTCACTAACTTGGCCAGTATTCAATTTGATTCTTCATTTAGATATTTATTAGTTAGGAACTTACAGATTCTGTTGCATTTAAAATCTCGAAACAGGAGGCTACAAATTTTGTTTCAAGTTTCCTTCCTACTTTAGTTTAGAAGGATAAACTTTTAGCCTTCAGATTTCTTAAAGTGGTATTTAATAATATCATGATACTTACCTTTTATTTCCATTTCTGTGTTACTACTGGTTATTCTTTTGGAAAGGAGAGATTGAAGTTGGTTTGGGGAGGAATTAGCAAAAGTGTTTTATTAATTGCTGCTTGAGCCAGGAATGGTGGTTAGGAGATGTGAACAATTTTAGTGAAGTATTTTTTAGACTTTTAAAACTACACTTTAAATTAAAATAACATTTTCTATAACATTTTATATTGCATCCAGTTAAAATTTAATGCAGGTATTTGTATACATAACAAATATTCAAGAAAAATGCCTTGCTATGTGTATGTTATCTGATACTTCTATTCTATTTCATTTAAAATAATTGCTGTTCACATCTCACTAAGTTGCAACCTCTAGTTGGAAAAATGCTTTTTCAGTATATTAATTACCTGTGTTTGTGGAGAAATCACCCCCTATTAGCAAATAGAAGACTGTGAATAAAAACACATTGTTGTTATGTACTAAATTATATCCTATTTTAAGCATTTAATAAATAATGAAATATTTTACAGGCTTTGTGTCATGATAAAATATAAGCAGCTTTGCCTAAGTAAACTCAAGTTTCCCTGTAAAAAAAAAAAAGACTTTTATTTTTAACATTGTATTTATATTTTAGGCTCTTCCCTTTTTTTAATAAAAAGATGTTTAAATATTAATAGAAATTATACTAATAGGTTGTTTTTAGATGTAACCAGATTAATCACTGGGGCTTTCTTAATCAGGCTACATCTCAATGGAGGGGGAAAAATTAGCATGCTTTAACCCAGAGATTGGCAAACTTTTTTGTAAAGGGCCAGCTAATAAATATTTTATGCTTTGCAGGCCATGGAGTCTGTTACAGTGGGTCATCTCTGCCATTGTGTTGTGAAAATATGTGAATGATTAGAATGACTGTGTTCCAATAACTCTTATGGAAACTGAAATTCATATTTCATATAATTTTCTCATGTCCATATCTTATGTTCCTTTTGACTTTTTCAGCCATTAAAAAATGTAAACACCACTTTTAGCTTTTGGGCTGTAAAAAACAGGTAGTGGGCCAGATTTGGTGAGCTAGCCCTTGCTTTAGCCTAAAAATGGAGAAAGTCAGTATTGGTCCCAAAAGGAGAAATTAGCAACTGTGGTTAAGAATATGAGTAATGATGTTAAACCTGAGTATTTATATTTATACTTTTCTGGATGTTAGAGCTATACATTTTTGTGTTGTGTTTGTATTATATTTTGTAGACTGTTGATATTCATAAAGAGAAAGTTGCAAGAAGAGAAATTGGTATTTTGACTACCAATAAAAACACTTCAAGGACACATAAGATTATTGCTCCAGCCAACCTTGAACGACCAGTTCGTTATATTAGAAAACCTATTGACTATACAATTCTAGATGATATTGGACATGGAGTAAAGGTAAGTATAATTGTTGTTAAGCTTTTAAAAATAATAGCCCATAATGGAATTAACTCTTGAGAAAATTAAGCATTTATCTTTTCTTTCCTAGAGGACCAAGTCTTGGCCCAGCTGTAGTTATGAAGATTTCTTAACCACTAAATAAGTTATCCTTCTTGCTTCTTCTTAGTGTTGTGTTCTCAAGTTTTAAACAGTCATCTTTGAATGAATTGCATTTGCTTAATCAGTTACGAAAATACCTCATATAGAGCTGGTAAATAAATGTGGCGCAATCTTTCTAATCTTTTAATGATTTAATATGACTAATAAAAATTTTAAGTATGTTATTAAAGGGCTTACTTTATCTCAAAAATTTGTCAGC